CCAGCCCCCTCCCCCTCAACCGTCCCTCGATGAGGAGGGTTGTGAAGATGTTGCAAGAAGTGGGTGGCAAAAACCATTCCGGGATTTGCCAGAAAGATGGCAAATTGACGCCTTATTACTATGAAGACGCCTCAGATCAAGGAAGCGTTGCCTGAAAAGTTTTCTTCTGCAGATTTCGAGGAGAAGAATGTAGGAGGTAAGGGAAAAAGGAGTGTTTCTTCTTGTTTAGTTAGTTTCTCTGTTCTTATCTCCTATTCATGTAATGGAGGTGGACGTCTCTAGTATAGAGAGTTGGTATGGGAGTAGAGATGGTGACCTGTAAACAGATTGTCCCATGAAAGTTTTCCCTCCATCAAGTTTAAAAATACTTGCATTAAAAACTTCTTGTTCCGAGTCTGTACTGTGACTGTTCCTTGATGTGGATTTCTTTCTTGCAGCTCTCAGGTGATTTTATTTTCCGTAGTTCTCCATCCTTTTGCGGTAAATTCTTTAATGCAATTTGTGACATACTTACCTTGCACCCTAATGCATACATACAAGCATCAAATTTTTAATGAATGACTGAGGGAGCATGAAGGGGAAGATGGTCCCTCCGTGGGTCCTCATTTAACGCTTCGCCTGTTGTTTTGCTGAGAAAGAGAGAAGATAAGTCAGAACAGATAAGAAAGAATTATTGTAAATCCTCATTATTTTTCTTCAATTATAGAAAGGAAACAAAAAAAAAAGAAAAAAAGAAGAAAATTTTCATGGTAGTATTTCTTTCTCATGTCTTGATCACGAGGCTCTCATTTTCATGATGCTCCCCTCGCCGAGTAAAAAGAAAAAGAAAAGAATATGGGTTTGTGTGAAGTGGGAAGGACGGTTACGTTCCTAGGCGAGCCTAAGTCGGCTCCAAAATCCTTCCATTATTCTGTGCAATGTTAATACAAGTCATGTACTTTATTTTGGTCTTATTCCGCTCAACATATTTATTTAATTAATTAAAATATATATTAAAATTTAATTTTTTATTTAAACAGATTTAATTTAATTATGTTTAATTTGTCTCATGAATTTAACAAATCGATTTATATAATTAATTATATATAAAATATATATTTTAAATATAATTTATGTTATATAAAGTATATATTTATATAATATATAACATAATTTTTATATTTTAAATAGGTTTACTGTTCCTGATAAGTCAAGTTTTACTAATTTCACTACCAAATTAGGCAAAGGCTAATTTTTGTCACATGATAGGCCATGAGTTGGCTCAAGCTAATAATTTTAATGGTAAGTATGACCTTTTCAAGCCCAAGCGAGACTTTGTTTGACTTATTTTTATCTTTGTAGGTGTAATAATTTTTTCAAATAAAAAGAAATATGTTTTAAAATTCTCATATCTATATATTTAGAAAATTTTTAATGATATAATTAATTACTTAAAATTCAATCTGTTCAAAATTTTAAAAAAATTGAATACATTTAATAACGTTTAATTTATAAATATTTAATTCTAAAAGTCAATTAAAAATATATCTAAATTTTAAATGAAATGGTTGGCTTATTATCTATTCTAAATATACTCATTAAAGTAGACAACTTCCATTCTAATTCTCGATTGCTACATACAACTCAAAATTTTTAACTTTTGGAAATTAAAATTTTAAACAAAATTCATTTATTTTGATTTTTTAATTTATTATAATTAAGTATAATGCATGTGCGTGATGAGGTTTTAGTTCACAATGGCAGGCAAAGTTGGCGTGGGAACAGGTGCAGGTAAGGCAACTTCCCCATTTGCTGAGGGTACAAGAAGTCACTGCAATTTTTGGTGACTAGGCAACTTCCCACCCAGGGCATGAAACAACTAGAAGCGATCTGCTATCTCTTTCTAATCTTTTAATAAATCAATTTAATTCTCAGATAAATAAATCAATTTGGTCATCGTCCTAAGTAATCTAACTGCGGAGGTCCCCCCAATGTGCAATGTTGCTGAGGGAAGGTTTATTTGTTTAGTTTTTTGATAATAATCTGGCAAAGCCCAGAAAAAGTTAAACTACGCTGTAATCGGAAGATTCGAGTTTCCAAAACCTTAAAAGCGTAGGAGATCATGCAACTCAAGAGGGAAATGCCCACTCTTTCACACCCGGTTTGAGAGAGACTAATTTTCGTTAATCTGTAATTACAATGATTACTCTCTCTCCAAATGTAATGATTTTTATTTGTCATTACTTTTGGAGCAAGCTTTTTATTCTCGCGAGATATGTGTACTAAGCATCTCATTAACCCTGTTTACGATCATCTTACAATCCGATTGCAGCTGGATCCGCTTGAATCCCATGTGCCAAACCAAGTTGAGATCTTCCTAAATGCTCCAAATCTTTGCTACCAGGGCTGTAGCTTTGCCCATGTAGATTAGCTATTTGTCAGAAAACTTGGTTCTGGGGTTTGGTGTGCTTGATAAATAGCCGAAGAAAGCCCAAACTCTGGGCCGAGAAGCTGGCTCAGGCGAAGCCCATTAGACACCCAACTCATTTCAGACACGTTCTAATCCCAACGTTTGTCATTGCTATAGCCTGTAGTGTAATTAAAAGTCACTACTGTTTTCCTCTTACAACAAACATGCATTTCCTAATATTTGGTGAGAAGAAATCGTGCAGGGCTACTAGGCCCAGAGCACAATCAGTCTCAGGCCCTATTCTGATATTTATTTGCCTTCTGTCATTTAATAAATTTTCACATTGCTTTTATAGTAAAAATGATTTAACCTTTCTATTATCAAATGTAAGTAAGATTAGATGATGTAGTGGCATGTTTTGAATTAGGATTGGATGTCAATTTGTCACCTCTAATGGGGGGTAAAAAGTGAAAAAAATATAATTTATTGTGTAAAACTTGAATCCACCTTATGGTGCGGGAGGTAGAACAACAACTAATGTTCCCACAGCCTAGGTGCATTTGTAAAAATTTGAGAGTTAAAAATCTTGGATTGTTACAAGGGTTTTCTAAAAGTAATTAAGCTTGGCCTCTAGCAGAGTAAAAATCAATGAAAATTGACTTAGGGAGTGTTTGGTCCAGGAGATCTCAAAGTTAATGACTTTTTTTCCAAGTGGAAGCAAAAAAGCAACAAGAATTTTAATAAAACTCATGGGTTCCAAAAGAAGTTCAATGATTAAATTTTAAAATTTCAAGTTTGGAGTTTTGAAAAGTCTGAATTTAAGATTTTTGAAATCTAGGGACCAAATCCATGGAATTCTAGGAAACTATTCCATAATTTTAATAAATTTAAGCCCCAAAAGTCCTACACTTACCTTGTAGATTGTACTTTGTTGAAGCAGATTGATGCTGGCTTTTCTAGTTTTCCTATTAGTTCAGGACCACAGGGTTCTGAATTTTCTGGGTCTTTAAGTTTGGTAGTTGGCTGGCTTAATAATATCTTTGTCGAAAGTGGAAGAAGGAACAAGGCATATTTTTATCTCTTGAAAACTCCGACAGCTATGTATGCCCGCTGGTTAAACCAAAACGATGCGTCAAAGTGATGGTATTGAGGAAGATTTACCAAGCTTCATGTCTGAATTTGTGGTGTCAGTATTTCAATTTATTTAGTACTATTTTTAAAAGTAATGTTTTTCTCTTTTATATAGAAGTAGAGTTTATGTATGCATAATGAGGTAGAGTTCTTTCTTAATGTGAGAAAAAATAGTATTGTTCTTAAAGACAACATTAAATAATTCATATATTCCATTTTCTTTTGTATTTAGTTTTTAATAGTTGTATTTTTCAATAGAACATATTGAAAATTTTGTTATTTTATTTGATATATACTTTTGACGGAGTGTTTCACGGTTTTGTAAATAAAAATTTTTTGTAATTCAAAACGGATATATTTCCTAAAAATTCTACACAAAAACAGCTTTTAACAGGATAATTAACCAAAGATATTTTCTATTTTTAAAAAACAATAAAAAGTTTTCAGCAAAAAATCTAAACACGATCACTTTCCCCCTTGATTTGAGAGAGAGAGAGAGAGAGAGAGAGAGAGGGAAAGCATTTTAGAAATTTGAGGTTATGAATACTCCCAAACTACAGGGCAGAATCGGACCGAATCCATTTTATATAAAAATGAATCATCGGTAACCAGAAGGCCCCATTACCAAGCGTTTCATAAGACTCCAAAGAGTTGTCTATTTAAATAATCAATTAGTTAAAACCTTTTTAATTGGGTGGAGCTAATCAATCTTTACTATTGGGTTGTTGCAACCAAATTGTTGTATCCCAATTCATTTGTTCTTGTCTCTTAATAATCCCCCACCCATGTGATACTTCCACTAAATTTTATCACTTTGTTCCACATGATCCAACAGTGTGTGTGTCTATATAAATATATATATATATATATAGAGAGAGAGAGAGAGAGAGAGAGAGGGAGAGAGAGAATATAGGAAGCATTAGAAGAAAGGTACACCTAACAACCATTAAAAATTATAGATTAATTGACATGGGATTCTTTTGTTTTCACAGTCCTCATTTCTTTTAAGAGGAATTGAGACAAACCAGTCATGTACATAACTTAATGCAATTTAATTACAAAAAAATAGAGATAATGGGTTTTTTTCCAATAAAAACATATAAGCAAGGCACGTGTTGCTCAACCATTGGTTGTTCTTTAGCTAGTTCTGTCAGAGTCATCAAGTGAGCATAAATTAATTAAAAAGGCAGCCAACCATGAACCATCACAACTAGAACACACTGCTAGTCCAACTTTTCTCACCAATCCAACCCTAATTTTCAAAGAGTACACGCTTGAGACAACTAGATTCCATCTTTTTCTCTTACCGATCCCTTTTACTTTCACTATCATAGACATATAAATGTGAATCAAGTTCCTCTAGACTTTACTTGATCCCTAATCCTACCCCTTCCACCCATCTTATTATTCTTAGAACTCACGAGCATATTAAGGGCAGGTGAATACACAAGGAACTCCATAGAGCACAAGCCCTGTCAAGATGAGCCATGGGGGAGAAATAGCCTACAACGCGGTCATGGCCGCACTTTCCTTCATTCTCACCCTTCTTCTAGTGATGCTCTTCTTCCTCTTTTGCAAGAAAAAGCCCATGGTGGGGTCCCAAGAAATCAAGCCCACCAAGCTCTCCTGTGCAAGTGCGTATTCTCTAATGGACATAGATGCTGCCACTGATGGCTTCAACCATAGGCGAATTATCGGTCAAGGCAGGCTTGGAACTGTCTATGCAGGGGTGCTTCCAAGAGGCGAGATGGTAGCAGTGAAGAAGATCCACCCACGGCTCGTTCTGAGCAATGCCGGTTTCGGGTTTTCATCGATGATTAAAAGGCTTTCTTTGGCTCGCCACCCTAACATAGTTTCAATCTTAGGGTTATCGGAGGCACCAGGTGAGAGAATTGTGATAATGGAGTTTCTAGGCGTTATGAGTTTGGACTACTACCTGCATCAAAATTCAGATGGGCCATCCCTTCTGGATTGGTCCCGGCGGGTTCGAGTCGCAGCTGGTGTGGCCCGGGGCGTGGAGTACTTGCATGAAGTGGCGGCACCATCAATAGTCCATGGCTCAATCAAACCCTCAAATATTCTCATAGATTTCCAATTCTGTGCTAGGGTCTGTGATTATGGGCTGTCTTTCTTGGCACCACAAGAGAGGAGAGGGCTTGAAGGGTATGTGGATGATGAGTACTGGGTTGGGAAAGGAGGTGTCTCAAAAGAATGTGATGTATATGGACTGGGGGTTGTTTTGTTGGAGCTTTTGAGTGGGAGGAGCAGTGAGGATGGCTTGCTTGTCAATTGGGCGTTGCCTTTGATCAAGGATATGAATTTCAGTGAATTATTGGATCCCAGGCTTGTAATTCCCTCTAACTTGAAGCCTCTTGTTAGATTGGCCAAGGTAGCTGCTGCTTGTGTTGGGAATTCCAGAAAGAACAGGCCTTCCATTGTCCAAGTGGCAGCCATTTTAAACAATTTGGAGATGGACCTCTGTCTTTAAGTTATATCTCTCCCAAATTGAGCCAATATATGAGTTTAGCAGCTTTTTAACTCTAATATCAAACCAACTCTTTTTGCATATAAGGGATTACATTTACGTATTCGATTTTAAAGTTTATGGGGCCGAGTAAGCCAGAAGTCAGAATTTTAAATCTAAAAGATTTTGGTGAGTTTTGACTTTGATATTTGTGCAGACCTGTTGTACGGTTAGGACTGTCCCATGAACAGTGATGGGGATATTGTGGAAAAGTGGGGAAGAGGGGATGGCGGTGGGCGGTGCTGAGTGGGGAGGGGGTGGAGGATGTGGACGGTGATTTTAAACTTTGTTTTGTGCGGAATGGGTCAGGGGTTGGATCACTATGGGTGGTGAAAGGGACCCATACCCATCAATTCTTTCTTGGTGGTGTTCATTTGATTTATTTATTTATTTTTGGCCTTGTCATTGCTCAATCATTTCACCGAACACTCTATGCTTGTTTTTATTATAGTTTGTAAAAGAAATTAATCCCTAAACTCAACAATGTTTACGTTGCGCTGGTACCTACTTAGGGAGTTAAATCATTGTTTATAAAGTACAATGACTGAATGACTGCCTTAACGTGTTTGGGTTTTTTTATCTTATTTTTTAGAGGCCAAAGCCTAAGATAAGAGAGAGAGAGTTATAAGAGTTAAAATTCTTAACTTTTAAATAAATTTTATAAGTTTTGTATTACTTAGGATAAGTCTTAAATTCAATTTGGTTGACTTTTGATGCCAAAAGCCTTATTTTTAAAATAAACCTACAAGGTATCCACATTTATTTTATTGTTTATAAGTTCTTTTACTCAAACTGCGAGCAGAATTGTTAAAACCCTCTCTCAGTAAATATTTTTAGCAGGAATCAAATCTTAGTTCTCCTCCATGAGCGTGACTCATTTATCATTGCCCCATCCCTTGTGGGTTGAGCCTTCTTTTTTTTTTCCCCTATTGGGTGGGCACTTTGGATTTGTTCTCTGTTACAACATAAAGATTCAGCCCATTGGGCTTAGATTTATAATTGGCCTGGCCCATCCAAAATAATTAAATTAAGAATGTAAATTTTGTCACCCTGGTTGAAGCATTAAAGTAATATTTTGCTATATAAATTAAACAAACCCGGGAGGAATTCTGATTCTTATTAAATATAGTCTTGTCAGTTTGCCGTGCTGGCGAGCTAGGAGCATGGTACAGTACCTAAAATTAAATGGGAAAATAGTGTCATGATAAATTTTTGTGGTTACCTCCATGGACTTAGTACTGGCAACCATTTAATTTATAAGTACAAAAATTCTATACTTCCGGCCACACTTTTTTTTGAGTAGGCTGGACCTGTTTAAAGGACGAATTGTTTCCTAATTTTATTTTATTTTCTTTTACATTTTGTGATATTTTTTAGCTCATTCAATGCTAATGGAAAAGGGTATATTCCTGTAAAACAAATAAAAAAGAGAGAGAAGGAAATATCATTTTGATTATGTGTCAAATTGTAAGTCAAATCCTTACTTGGATTAATGTGCAAAACTGGGCATGGGCTTGGCCCAATTTAGGGCCTACTTTCTTAGACATGCCCAGGCATACACCCTAAGGGTCTATTATGCCAAGTCAACCTAATAGATCCTGGGTGGGGTTGGGCTGTGGGTGCCTTTCCCTTTGAGGGGAGAAGTCTACCATGAGTAGTTGATGAGTAGATATAATATAACGTGACCAAAGAATCTGACCCTTAGTTAAAAAATGGTATGTTATTTGTAAAGTTTACAGAGAGGTTATAGATTCGACTTGTAATTTTTTTTTTCTGAGTCTTTAATTGACCACAAAAAGAAGATGTAGTCTAACAAAAATAAAAATGACACGGTTATTTTCGAAAGAGCAACTAAAATGAAAAATTGAATATAAGAAGAAGCTTTTCTGGTCTTCCGGATTCAGCTGGACATAGAAGTAGAAAAGGAAAGTGAAGCAAGAAATTGGAGGGAAAAAAAAATGAAGAGGTTGAACTCTCCATCCCATTGAGTATAGTAGTTAACATTCATATTGTCGGAAATTATATCAGAAATTAAATATTAAAATATTGGAGTAAACGAGTGGTTGCATTTTATTAAAATTTATTTCATATAAACTACCTAAAAAATAAAATAAAAATCGTGTTGTTTCTTGCAATATACTTTATACAATTAGAAAAGAAAAAAAAATCTAAAAATGGAAATTTATTCAGTTTTTAATTATTGCCACGGTGTCGTTTTCAATTATTATGATTTTAGATTTTGATGCTCTCCTTTTATTGGGATGCTAGTTAAGTCAGACAATTTATTATTTTTCTTAGGGATGAATTTTGCATTAACTTGGTGCCCACTCTAAATGGATCCAAAATTACAAGAATGGTTTCCTTTCGGCAAATTTAGGTTAGGGGTCACTCCATCTTTAGTATGGAGTGTAGTTAGATTTGGTTTTTCAATTTTCTAAGTTAATTTATTTAGTATAAAATTGTAATTTATCAAAAGAAAAAAACTCATAATTAGTTTTTTTTTTTTTTCAAAAACCTCAAATAAAATGGATTTTTTGTGAACCAAACGCCCCCTTATTTTTCTTTTGTGTGTGAGACATCTCCCCTCGTGATTGACAGAGATTTAAAAAAGTTTATATGATAGGGAGGGTTGTTTTCAGTTTCCACATTATTAAAGGGAGGGTTTTTTTTTGATTATGTAATTTAATTTAATGACTGTGGATTTAAACACTGGTGGAGGCAATAACAATAAAATAAGTGAAAAATCTGAATTCTTAATCATATAAATATATTAAAAAAATTGCGTGTGAGACCCGAGTACTTTGACGAGAATTGATTAATAATTAATTAATAATTATTGTCTCAATTTTATCCTATTTAAAGTCAAAAGACAACAACTAAAAACCATCAAATGCCACACGAAAATGCCTAAATACCAAATTATTCACCTTAATTTCGTACTAAAACCATCAAATCCTACACGAAAATGCCTAAATACCAAAATTATTCACCTTAATTTCATACTAAAACCATCAAATCCTACACGAAAATGCCTAAATACCATAATTATTCACCTAAATTTCGTAAACCCCTCGATAGGTGGAGAGGATATATTTGATAAGCTAATAGAAGAATCATTTTTTTTTTTTTTTTTTTTTAACTTGGGGGTCAATGACGAACGTTTCATCTTACAATGAAGAAATTAGACCTTGTAACCATTTTAGGTTCATAATATTAATCCTAAAGCAAAGGTTGTCAACCTATTACTTTCCATACCAAATCCTAAGATGTACATAAGGAGGTATTTGGTATCAAATTAAAGCATTAAAACCTCATATTTTTCTCTTTTGTTTTTGGGAAAAAAACCGTGTGATGGAATGTTTGGTTCTTTATTTATTTATTAGAGCTTGTCTTAAATGTTTGGTAATCAGGTACAGAATATTTGGTGTTATTTTCTTTGTATTTAAATGTTTGGCATAAGAGACTTTTTTATGAGTTTTTGTGTCAATTTTTTTTCCTTATTTTCAATTTTGACGTTAGTGACTTTTGACACTTTAAAACCCAAAAACTTGGCCCTCAAACAAACTAACCCCTAATAAGAGAGTAATCTGGTGATGGCTGACTCATGCCAAATATTTTTAGGAAAAACGTAGACAAGACGGTGAGAGATCGTGTATTTTACGTTAACGAAAGTGTTAAAGATTATGCCAGGAAAAGAGTGTTACGACCCTATCACGTGATATTACTATCTCTTCAAAAAATCGATTATATTAAAATATGTAATACTATAATTTGTATCTCAATTCCACTCTTTCTCGTAATGTTAAATTTCTAGAACCTATTATTATTAAGCCAAAATCCCTTGATTTGAATTAAAATGTGAAAAGAAATATAAATAAAATAAAATCTTCTATGAAAAATAAAATTTACTTTTTAAAAATATTTTGATTTTAATCAATTTTTATTTACTTCAACCATCCAAAGATAATGTCAGCATATATCTTGCTTTTTAATTATTTATTACCAAATCACTTATAGTGATTCTAATAAATATGGAGATACATGCATGTATTTAAATTATACAGAGAGAGAGAGAGAGAGAGAGAGAGATTGGGCATTATTTCCTTTATCGAAACATGGAAAGAACTAATTGACATTATCCTGGAAAAACCCACGTCTATACGTTAAAGCAAAGCCTTAAAAATGAAGCTTACTGGATAAGCTTTCTGTTGCTTTGGCTTTTCGGAGAAGCTCTCCTCATGCATGACTTGACCCCTTCAAACCAATAATGTCCACCAGCACATGTCGGCTCGTATATCCATACACATCATTCATCCATCCATATATGCACCGGGTAAAAACTCGAATGCATTCGACTCCACTTTCATTACACTGCAACCGCCACGCATCGCAACACAAGCCCACGTCGGCGTATAAAATCCTGTTAAACAGAACCTATTTAACAAAACATGCAACATTAAAAAAGGGAAAATAAATAGCCAATCTTGTAAAAAAATGCACAACAAACACCGTGGAAGTCTGAAGTTTTTCTCTCAATTCATATATCCAGTCAAATATATACAAATTTAATCTATTTTATAATGCGTTAAGAAATATTTACACTCAACGTATGGAGGAACGCATGTATATATACAGCCAAACATGCATGTATGTACATGCACAGAGAGAGAGAGAGAGAGAGAGAGAGAGAGAGAGAGAGAGAGAGAGAGAGAGGTTCCTTGCTTGAATTGAGAAGTCTACGGGAAGAAAAGGATTAATATAGAGGTAGGTGATGTAAATTTCCGTTTGTTACTTCCAATTTTATTGGGTATGTAAAGTTTTATGTACATGTAACTTTAAGGACACTCCTGTTTGACACTGCAGCTAAAGCCCTTCTTCTCTCTCTCTCTCTCTAAACAGGTGAAACGTCCCCAAAGTATAAGGTTGCCCCGTCTCTACTCTTAAGATCCTTCAGTTTACGTCAGTTTTAGTTGCCCCTATGTTCTATTTTTGTTTTATTTTATATTTTGATACGTCGTTGGCCTATGAATTTAGCTTCCGGCAGAAGCCGAATTATTGTCAGTTTCTTGGGGGCTTTTTTGGTAAACAAACAACCCCAGTTAATTCCTTGCGAAGTGAATAGTCTAGGATGGAATCAATATCAAAGGGAGACCTAAAAGCAACACAGAAACTGCATTTATTCTATTTCTCGTTACATGTTCGTGTATCACACAAACAAAACCAAACTTGTTGTCCAAGCAACCTATTATTTTAATATAAATTAATTCTTTTCTCCCCCTGTTTTCAAAGATAAAAAGAAAGAAAATTCTGATCCCTCTTCTCCTCTCTCTCTCTCTCTCTCTCTCGATCGACACAGTTCAATCACATAAAAGAAAGGAAAGGGAAAAGTTGGGAGAATTCAGTCCCTTCCCAAACACCCAGAACAAGAAGAAGATTGGGTACAAAAAACGTGGTTTAAAGGAGGGAACTAGCTGCTTTTCCTCTTTAGTTTTTCTTTCTTTTTAGCCATCTCATGTATGTCTGGGTATTTTGTGTTGTTTGATTCATTATTGTTCATCAGCTTGGAGATAGAGGTGGAGGAAGCTGCAGGAGAAAGAAGCCCTCTTTGGGATGGGCATGAGGGAAGAGCGAGAGACATGACATGGCACAATGATACGGAAGAAGCCCGGAGAGCCATCCAAACAGTCCCTTGTTCTTCATCGTCAGAAAACCCTCTAACATGCGCAAGAGCCGGAGAAAAACGTACCATAACTTGCCCTTCATGTGGCCACACCATAGAATTGCAAGATCAGGTACTAAATACCATTCCTATCTCCCTATTTCTTCCATTTTGTTTTGTTTGAATTAATGAATTAATCAGTTAATTATTTCCAATCAGACGGGAATTCAAGATTTGCCTGGTTTGCCGGCTGGAGTGAAATTTGATCCCTCTGACCAAGAAATCCTTGAGCATTTGGAGGCCAAAGTGTCGCCGGATGCCGGCAAACTTCATCCACTAATAGACGAGTTTATTCCAACGCTTGAAGGGGAAAATGGGATTTGTTACACACACCCAGAGAGGCTACCAGGTGATTCGTTTTTATCAATTATGAATTAATTAATTAGATCACTTATATTGATCACATATATTTAAGATACGTGCCTATACGAACTAACTAGAAAATTTCTGAGAAAAAAAAAATGACTGATTAATTATTGATATGCACTGGGTAGAACAAATCCCCTTGCTTATCCAGGTATTTTGTGCTTTACGCTCCAAGTAATAATGTGCCTCTCTCTTGGCTGTTTCTGATATTACGAAGGGTAAAAATTTAGAAATAAGGGGGGATTTGGGGTGTTATAAGTGCTAATTTTGGAAGATTTCCCTAGTCTTAATTGGTTAAGAAATTTTCTAAGTACTTTTTTTTTTGGTTTCTAATTTCCCACCTTTCGTAACGCCCTTTTGCGGCTTACTATATTAAAAACAAGCATGAAAAAATTGTAACTAATATTCCTTGAATTCAAAAATAGTATGCTATTTATTGCCTTCTTTAATTCTTTTGAATTTTTTAAACAAGATTCTACCCTAATGTACTTATTAATTCCTTCTAGGGGTGCCCCAGGCCGTCTAGGGTAGCTTCTTAATTTTTTGTTATTTGAAAATAATAGCAAATTAATATCATTGTATTTGAACGTTGTATTCCCTTGGTTTAGTAACGTGTATATAATCGTTGACACTGCAAAATTAGTAACTTACAACAAATTGAGCGACTTTTCCCAAGCTATTATTTACGGAAAGCTAGAAACTTGTAAACATTTTCCTTAAAAGGTGAAAAAGCTAAATAAATCAGGGGTCTCTCGACTGGACAAGGCATTGTTTGCTTAGGTGACAAAGGGTATATTCTGGTTTTGGAGATTCCAATCAAAATTGTTGGCTGTAAATTAATAAAGTTTTGCTGGATAATGTCAATGCGTAAGTTTTTTAATTGCTTTAGGGTTACATTACCCATGCTACTACCCAACCAAGATGTTTCAAGAAACATATCTGAATTAGTAAGTGCAAACATTATGGCGTTTGCCACAACAACGGTGTGCGAAATGCTTTCCTCGTTGCTTAATGATTCCAAGTCCCTCGTTTACCTTTGTCATTAATTGTCACTAATCACGGAAAATTATCATGCTTTGTAGGTGTAAGCAAAGATGGCCTAATCCGCCACTTCTTCCACCGGCCTTCAAAGGCGTACACAACAGGGACTAGAAAGCGGAGAAAGGTTCACACCGATGAAGAGGGAGGCGAAACACGGTGGCATAAAACAGGAAAAACAAGGCCAGTCGTTGTTGGTGGGGCAGTGAAAGGGTTCAAAAAGATATTGGTTCTCTACACCAACTATGGCCGGCAAAGGAAGCCGGAGAAGACCAACTGGGTGATGCACCAGTACCATCTCGGCAACAATGAGGAAGAGAAAGATGGAGAGTTGGTGGTCTCAAAGGTGTTCTACCAAACGCAGCCTAGGCAATGCAATTCAAGTGGTAAGGATTCATCGAGGAGCCAAAGTGGATTTGAAAGTCCTCTAATAAGGAACACAGCTAACTACATGGATTACTATAATCCTTCGTTGATCTCTTACCAAGGTCCATCCCAAATAATCCCTAATCTGGTTTTCCAAGGTGATGGGTCTTCATTTCTTCATCATCTACCCACAACTGCAAGCAAGGGAAAAGTGCTTGAGAGGAAATAGACTGGGAAGGAAGTAACCGGATAGGGCTAAACGCGTCATTTGGCGGTTGTGTTGTGCTAGTCAGAAATAAGCACATTCTGATCACATAAGTGATTTTCCTAGACGGATTTCTTGTAATTTTCAAGTAGTTGGTAGGGATTATACGGGGGAGCTGGTGCAACACTGCACCCATTTATATATTGAAGAGTTAAATATGTTTATTGTATTTGTAGAGCTTTTATACAAAGAGTGTTCTTACGTTGTAGATTCAGGGTTATGTTCATTTTAACATCCCTTCTTCTTACCAGTTTTAATGGAATAAATATGAACCTTTTGAGATCAATTCTTTATCTTTGATTGTCGGCAAGAACGTCAGTTCTTATAATCCAATCAATTATCAATTTATTAATAGCAAAGTTGAATGTTATAATATTGAGGGGTACCGGGAACCGACTCATCGGTTGCAGGGTCTGTTTAAATAGGTTCTAATTCCAATTTTCTACAGGCTGGTATAGCGTAGATTCGATTCGGCTTATTAAAATAGAATTTCCGACTTTTAAACATTCTAGTTGTTCAATGTTTGGTTGCCACGGCTTTTATTTATTTATTTTTAACCTCCAATAAACAAGTTATATGATTACATAATGTCTATTTATGGAGCTGAATCAAATATCTGAGCATGGAAATTGCAACTTTTTGGCAACAATTATCCATAAATAAAAATGCAAAATTAGTTAAATATAAATATCCCTATAATAAAAAGGAAAAAATATAAGCATCAAAAGGCGATAATAGATCTCGTTCAGGAACAGAAAACTCTCTCACTCTTCAAAACTTCTGGGATAAGATACAAATCTCCACTCGTGAAAAGTAATACTTTGAAGTTGTTTTAATCAATACAATGAACTTTCCCTCAACTAGAATTCCCAATATGGGTTTTGAACACGAAAATCTAAGTGTATATTTGGGTTTTTCAGGAAGTTAGGGGAAACAAATCTAAACATTCGAGAGTGCATAAGGAAATAAAAGTTGCTCTAACCTTTGATATCACTGTGGCAGCCCACAAGGCCCATCCGCCTCGCGAGCTTGGCCAACGACACATGCGGTCTCACATATAAATCATGGGGGATGGATATTACACTTCCAAATCTAGAATCTGTTGGACATGTCCGTACAATGCTCAGGTTCCCTCTTCAGCTCTCTTCGCTACTCCTCCTCCTCGCCATTAGTTTCTCCACCATAATTTGTCTCTTCCTCATTTGAGTTTTCTACGAAATCATTTTTAACTAGCTCATCGCAATAGCTAGAAATTATAAAAACGTTTAAAAGTTTTATTTTTTAGATCAAATTTATTGCGGCGGTTGCTGCAAAACCTCGGGTGCGAGCTCGGGCGGAGCGGCCATCGGTACGGATCTTGGTACTATTAACAGATCGAACTTGAATTGAATTAGGATATTTTAAATCTAAATTAGATTACAAATTTAAATAGTCAAATTTAATTTGAGATTTTATATGATATATGTTTGTTAATATCAATTTGAGTCCAAAAGAAGTCCAAAATCCAATCTGAGTAATAGCTAGCAAGACTCTAGGAGATGCTAATTAAGTTGACGAATTAAATGGACAAGCCAACCAACATTCACGAAGATGATCCTAGATGAAGCTGATGAGTGTAGAAGGAACTAATAATTGCAAGAAGAACAAATGATTGCCAAAGAGATGTTGAAGCCAAAGATCAATGGTGTTGGCAAGAGAAGACGAAGATGGCATCGTAGTCAAAGAGGGTTGGAAGAGTAGAGAAGATGAAGTGGAAAGAAGCTAGCATTGATGTCTTCGTCAATCGGCGAAGGTGATGGCAACAACAACAAATAGCAAGCAATGAAAAAGATGCAGGAGCCAGAGATGTAAAGAGTGCAAGTGCATTCAGGAAGCTAGGGTTTCAACCGAAGGAAGGAATAAAGAGTGAAACTGCTTTACATTTTCGTCTCTCAAATCTTCTTCTTAAAGTCACTCGGCTTTTTAAACAATTTTCTTATTTTCGTTCGCTTTCCCAAGTTACGTTTCCTTTGATAAAGTCTCTAAAGTTTTTAAAAATATTATTAAAATTCAAATTTAAATATTTAATTAATTAGATTATTTCATTTTATATTCTATCAACTTATTTTAAATTACATATATTTATAATTAGATATGAACTATCAAATATTTTAATTGAATTTAGAATTTAAATTAAATTAAAATCCAAATCCAACTTATTGATACCCTGCCATAATAATCATCATAAAATCCGGCTGCCATGTAATTAAAACTAATTAATATATTTCTTGTCAACTAAATGATAAAAAGATTATACCTTGATGCATTCCAAATAGTTATCCTCCTCTTGAAGACTTGAAGCCATTCAAAAGTTACTATTTTCATTCTTTATTCGGTATTTTTTTTTTTACAGAAATTAAAAATATTGGAACTACAAGGCCCACAGCCAATGTAAATGGATACGCAGGAAATGGGAAAACCTGTACAGGTCCAGCATCTTTTAAGACAAAAACACCCTTGTCTTTCATCGAAGGAATAGAAATTTTCCGGGAACAATCATTCTAACCCTTTTTTAGTTCACCAAGTAATGGCTCAACTAACCATAAATTTTCTTCCCTTCCCTTCATTTTTCTATGCTCGCCTTTTTTCTTTCTTTGAATTAGAAAGTAATCATTTATGCCTTTTTGAAATATAATCTGTTTCAAAGTCAAGCGTGGAAGGAAGTCCTTTGAATTATATGGAAACTCTTGGGCGAAAAGTCTTTCCAAGGACAGAAAGTTGACAAAGATGTCAAGGAATATTATTCAAGATCAATATAATATTTGATCATGTACTGAAATATTTTTAAGAAAACATATTGGTCATTTGAAATTGGTCTCTCTCTCTCACACACACACACACACAAAAGACAATCAATGGGCTTAGAATTGTCCAATATATCGCTACAGGAACTTCCAAACTGGCAGGAATTTTGTCCTAAAATAGACTACATAATAATTAGCTAGATCTACGACTTTATGGGTCTACCAAAAGCAAAGCAAATTCGAAATGAGTGGCTGTGGAATGAACAAAACAAAAGAATTTCATAACTGGGAGCTGGAGCTTGAAAAAGGCAGAAAAATTCAGGCAAGCAAAGAATTTGTACATATTGAAACTGCAGATGAACACTCTTCATAAAACAAGAAATATATCCTCGAATCAGAAACCAAAAAGCCAAATGCATAACGTTTAAAAAGTTGTTTAAAGCAGCAGCAACTGCAGCAAAACCTTTTTTGCATCTTGTGTCGGGTCTCTCCACCAATCTTAATGATGCTTAAAAACAAATTACTTGGCCTCCATGAACTGGCAGTTTTTATTAAATTCTCAGAAGATTGCTTGCAACCTGGGTAACTTTTTGGCAGAACAACTCCTCGTATAGAGAAAGGATGTCTTTCTTGTTACGGTTCTTCGGTTAAAGCAACTCAACACCAAAGTTGTGCTTCACGAGTTCCTGCTTGAGTCTCTGAACAAATAGAACTTGTTCAGTCATCTGAATTGTTCCGTCGTTTTCTTTTCTTTTTTCTTTTTCTTCTTCTTCTGGCTGCGTAAACTTTAAAGGGCTGGTAGTTCTGCGGGACCTCTTGTTTTTGTTGGAATCCAGAGTGGACCCAAGGAAAATGCAACTCAAGTAAGGAAATATACATATTGATACAAAAGTGTTTTACAAAAAAACCTCACAAAATACTCTCCAAAATATTTTCGCAATCTTGGTGTTACTGCACTCAAAAGTAATTTTTTTTCCCTCTCTTTTTCTTAATCTAGCTCCGGCTAGCACTCTCTCTCTCTAAGCATCTGCCTCCCCAGGCTTTCTAATTCACTCACCATATGAATTGCAAAACAAGGCATAGAGACCAAGGTCGGCTGCACAAAGGAACCGCCTCAAAGCCTCCTAAATTTTTCAGCTCCCTTCCAGCTGTTTTTCTTGCATTACAACTATAGCAGCAGACAGCTTCTAGCTGCGTAATTAAGGTCACCTTTCTAAGTGACCAATAGAAATAGCTCCTCCTCTTTAAGTTTTCTTCACTTGGGAGAGTTGTCTCGGCCAATTAATTCCTAGCAACGTGGCCAGCTTATTTACCATATTCCTTTCACCCGCTTCTCATGCAAGCTACGTGGCCTACTTCATTTCCTTTTCTTTTTCTCATGAGACACGAGGAAGTCGGTTATTTCATTCGCAACGCCACCTCTTAATATAGCCAATAGGATTAATAAGAGGGTTTGGTTTCTAACAGTTTTGACACCCGTATCCTGAATAGATTCAACAAAAACTTCATAATCATCTATCTTGTTTTCGTTCCTGTTGTTTGCTTCTGATCGTTGTTAGATTTTACCTATTTCTTCTCCCTTTTCTTCAGTCCTTCCCTCCTGTATTGAACTTTGGCTGTATGGTATCCATCAAAGCAACGCGGTATCTCTCTGCTTCATTAGCCAGGTCATTTTTCTGCTTCTCTAGGCTCTCAGTTGTCTTTCAGCCTCCCCAATTTAGGCCGTCTTTTTTCTGAGTAGCAACGACGCCAGCCTGTCTTGATCTGCTGCCAACTCTGACTGCTGTTTCAACTTAAACCTTTCTATGTCGTAGCTCTTTATCTTTGATTCAGCATCCTGCAGTATGACAGCGCTAGGAGAATAGATCATCAATGTGCACGTGCCCTCACCAATAATCGTTACCCCTAAACTCCCAAAGTGGTCAAACGCTGCTCCGCACCTGAAACCTCTGCAGCCTTAACCTTTATGTCCTCTTCCCGCGTTTCATCGCGTAGTCATCCTCTAGTATGCACGTAAAATAATAAATTAAAAATAAATTTCCAGCGCTGAAAATGTTTCTACATGGAGCATTTCACCCCAGCCCTATAACAACCCAGAAATTAAATCCATGACTGGTACTAGGGTCAAAATAAATTCTAATCAGAACCTAGAAATTGGATTCACGACCGGTGCTAGGGTCA